CATGAGACAGAGGGCATTTGGATGGTGAATGAGATTAATTTCTCAACCATTCTCATTGAATTTTTCTCCTGCACTTTGCACTTACAAAAGGAGAAGGAATTCTCCATCTTCTACAACCCTCAGTTATCTTATTCCATCCTATTCTTATGTTTGCTTTAGCTGTGTTCATGTTTTCTATTTTGTGGGTTTTGGTTGTGGAACGTTTTCACAACCTCAGGATGGTGGGAGATTTTCTTTATGAGTGGATATAGTGAGACTGTTTGAAAAACATCGTGTGTTCTGTTTTCTTACATCTTAAAACTCTTTGAAACCTATTGTTATCATGGTGAAAAATACTATAGAGTTTTTGTTCTCATGGACTAGCCCTAAATCAATGGTATACCATGTAAATCCTCGGTACCATTTATTATTGCTTGTGCTTGTTGTTATACTGACAATAGACAATGTATTGTGTTACTAATATTATCAAAATAAACTGGTCCAATGAAGTTGGCTTAATCATGGTATTGTGGTGAGGTTCTGGTATGCTTTATAAGCTTTATGGTCTACTTTATGTTTTTTATGATGTATTTTATTGTGTTACTGGTAAGTTTCATGATAATTGTGGAGAGGGGCGAGATGCAAAGTAAATGAGTAGCGCCACACGCGTATGTCCCTCTAATTTTTAAAAATGACAAGGGTTTATCTCTTCAAAACTCAAAATTAATCGTGGTCAATCACTTGGAATAAAGAAGTCATCAAAACAAAATATTTTAATTGGCTGCTAACAAATTAAGTGTTAACACCCTAACATTTTTCGCAAATATAAGTCTAAATTTTTTTAAAATATATTAAAGTTGATACTATTTTGAACAACATAATTAATCAAAGTTTTTTGTGCTAAAAATTTGAATTGCGAGTTCAAATGAAGAAGCAATATTGTCAACCCGCAGATCGACCCACCGTTTGAGCCACTTTGACCCAGACTCAGACCTAGTGAGAAAAACGGGTCGCAAACACCCACCGGGTTGACCGTTGTAAAGTATGTGGTTGGATGTCAAATTGTGTTGTTTTTTTCTTTGGTTGCGAAATGCATCTATTTTCCGAATTTCTTTTTCGCCTAACCAAATTTTTGGAATTCTTTGTTGAACATTTGAATATTGATGTTATATAAATGTGTGAATTTTCACTATGTTGGATCCAAGTACGACATGTTATTTTGGTGTATTGTTATGTATTATTACTCATATGTTAGATAAGTATAGATGAGTATTACTTAAATTTTAGATGAGATTTGAAATGATTTATGAATGTGGACAATATAATTAACTTTTTCATATATCCAATTTAAAAATTAAGCTAAAACGATTAGATCATTAATAATCCTCAATCCTCAATCCACTTGCTGCAGGACGAGGCCAAGGGACTAATCGGTTGACAACCTTGTCAAGAAGTGACAAATGATGATAATGCAAAAAATCTCGCACGACACGGACCAGAGCGGAAGAAGTCGTCTCTATTGTCTTTCTTTTCCTTCAGACACTCATCTGTCCAACTATCCTTTCTTGGAGAAACTCAGAAATTTCCTCTTCCCGGCGAAGAAGAAAAAGAGTCTCTTCCAACTAAAAGGGAACGAAAAAGCGAACAATTCCCATGTCTACATCATCTCTGACTATTGTCCATCTATTGTTCCTGCTGTTTTACACCTTAGGGTTAGGTTTTGGTTCTGATTACAGTCACACTCTCAACGAAGCTCGAATCGACTTCACTCATGGAGATCATGACGAGCCTGGTTTGGGCGGTGGCGTGCTCCACCTAAAGGTGTTAGTTTCTTTCCGTACTAAAAATATAATTGAATATCTAAATGGCTACCACTGATCAGTTGCTGCTTTAATTTGTTAAAAAAGTAGTGGAATAAGCAAATTGGGATTAAATTCTGTTCTAAAGTGAAGAAATTGGAATATTCAGCTATCCCATTCCAGTATGCGTTCGGGTTAGATTATTCTGACATTGAATTGATAATTTCTTTCAACTAAATAGGACGATGATCTATTATTGGCTGAGAATTGGGAAGCACATTAATTATGTTTATTACTTTTTACAAACATCTGCAGCACATAGTTGGACCTGTATGGATTTGTATGTTTTTACTACACCATATAGGGTTACATGGGACTACTACTTTTCTGCCAGCGATCATGCGTTGAAGTTTGATTCATGGGAGGAACGTTCAGAGATGGAATATGTATGACTTTCTTGTACATTTTGTATTTGTTTGCGTCACTGTTATGCATAGAACTGCTTGGTGGTGATGTTGGTGTTGGAATTGTTTGCAGGTGAAGCAACATGGTGGTAATGTTTCTAATGTTTACTCGAACTACAAATGTGCACCTTTCCACTGATAGTTTGTCTTTAATCCTTAAAGAGGGTCATGACCCACTGATCTGATTCTTTCCTGTCAAGTAATATTTTGCCATGTTTATTTGAAACCCCATGACTCAAGGGTTATGATTTGCGACAAGATTGTGTTGTAGAACTACCCGTCTATGGCTGTTGTTTGCTCATGTCATATTTGATCTTGATTCTCAGGGTGAAGAGGTAATAGTAGTCATTCCATGGGATGAATGGTGGGCGTTAGCCTTAAAAGGATAATTCCAATCCACAAATTGCTCTGCTTCCCCTGCATCCAGATGTGCGTGCTAGATTTAATAACAGCGCAGCTTGGGAATATGTCCGGGCCATGGCTGGAAAGTCGTATGGTTACCATAACATGATATTTAGTTGGATTGATACAATAGCTGGCAATTATCCTCCACCTCTAGATGCTCACTTGGTACGAACCTTTCCAACATTGTTGTTAGTGATTGTGTTGAGTCAGGGACAAAATATTGCTCTACTCCAAATTCTATTGATTTGCTGCTCAAGTAAACAGGTTCTCATTTTGTTATAGATGGAATTCAGTTTATCTTCACATTTTGCCTATAATTTCCCACAGATTCGTGATGCTTACATGCATAAAATATTCGACAACAATCAAACTCACCTTCCTAGCTGGTGCAATAATGAAGATGGCCAGCTCTCGTTTTGTCAAAATCTTGGGCGAGTACCGGATGGAGTTGCCCGAACACAATAGCGTAGAGCCATATGCCAAGATGAACGAGAATTGCCCATCCCTACCTCCTATCTACGACAGGCCTTCTCAGTGTTGAATCTCTTATGTGTACGACAAGAATGTCACGCCTGTAGCTCTACTACACATTTTCTCAAACTGTATACACGATACCATGTTTGTAATTGTAACTTCTATGTGATTCTGTACATAAAAACACCATTGTAGTCAATTAGTTTCAGTTTGGATCGCTTAGTAGATTATATGTTCGCTATGAATTGTATCAATCAGAATAATTATGGAACGCCCACGATTCTCTGTTTATATCCTTCAATTAGTAATAAAATTTGTTGCAATGAACAATTGTCGAAGACAAAATGTGGTTGTAGTTTTAAGATAATGTGGCTGTAGTTTAGTGGTAAGAATTTCACGTTGTGGCCGTGAAGACCTGGGCTCAAATCCCAGCAGCCACAAATAATTTACTTTTAAACACATGGTGTATGAAAAAAAAATTCTCTCTCTACCTTTTTTTCAAAATCACGCTCCCCCTTCTCTCATAGTCGCTTTCGCACTCCTTTTCCCAGGGGTGGCCGCCGGCGCCTTCTGGTGACCGGCGATAACCCATTCTTTTCCTTCTCTCTTTAATCGCCCATCTTGCTTTTGGTTTGGAAAGTCTTCTTCGACTTTTTCCTGGATTGTTCTCTCCTTTCCAGCCGTTATGGCCTTTCAATTTCATTTCAAGTTGAGCTTGTCTCTTCATTTCAAAGTCTAGGATTCATGTTTTGGGCTTGCTCAATGAGGGATCCGGAGTATGCAGCTTGGGAATTTCATTCTGGTAGGTAGAATGGCCGATTCCCAAGTTTGGTGGGTTCATCATCGGTGAAGCCATTCTTTGCTTTCCCCTTCCGGCATCCCTTGGCAGTTGTCTGTTGCTTTGGTGCTCGTTGGATTGTGGAGGGTATCGTCTTCTCCGGCGGGTGGCAGCCAGGGATGGCAATTTTGACATGACCCGTTTTACCCGACCTGTTTGACCTGTTTTGGGGCGGGTCCGACCCACTCCGTAGGCGGGGCGGGGCGGGCATGGGTACTCTCATCGACCCGACCTGCTCTGACCCCCCCCTTCTCGACCCGTTCTTGCCTAAATTACATGTAATCTTAGTTAAATTATTTTGAATTTTTCATTTATTACATGATAATTTAGATATAATAAAGTTGTAAATTAGTGAAAATCTCAATTTTTCTAATAATTTAACTACATTTATCATAATATTGTTTGTTTTCTTGGTCTTATAATAAAAATAACGAATATTTCTAATGTTTTTCATATAAATTGCATACTCATTGGGTCGACCTGCCCCGACCTGCGACCCGTGGCAAATTACCCGACCTGCCACGGGACGGGTCTGGGTACCAAGAAACCCGCCCCGGACCTGCCCCATTGTCAATTTGTCATTCCTAGTTGCAGCTGCCTGCTGTCTCTTTGGAGTTTGGTGGCTCGATCAGATTCTTCCACTCTCTTGGATCCATGCTTGCTGCCTCGGCTCCCTCTGCCTTTTCAACTCGGAGCAATCTTTTCACTTCCTTCTCAACCGCCATGTTGTCTCGTTCTGAGATTCACTGTGATGGATGTCTTCGAGCAGTCCCCAGGAGGCGGCATATGTCATTGCTTTGTTCAAGCCATGAATTTCGTTGTGATTGGACGAGTTATTTCTGATCTTGGTGGTACTATGTTTTGGTTGGATGCGAGAAGCTTTCTGGATCTACTGTTTTTGGATCTTGCATTCTGATCTTTTGGGTGGTTGTTTGTACTCTTTGCTTTGCTCTTCTTTGTTGTATCTCTCAAGCACGGTCTGTGTTCAACCGTTTGGTCGAGATCTCATTACGCTAATTTGATTGCAGTTTTATCCATTCCTCTTTGTAACCGATCTAGTGCAATACAAGATTTACCTTTGTAAAAAAGAAAAAGACAAATTCTTTTCCATTTAAAGACAAAAGCCAGGTTTAGTTTCCTTCCATGCTACTTTTCCTGTTACAACTGGAGCAGAGTTCCATGAATGGAACTATTGGGAAGTATCTTACATCAAAAGAGGCTACATTACATATATAATGTTACTACTAATTCAACTCCAGATTCAGATTTCTCCATCCCAAAGCTCCTCAATAGTCTTGAAAGGGCCTTGGTCTGAGATGTAATCCTGTCCCTGGCATCCTCTGCTTTGGGGGATCTCACTCAGCTTCTTGTTCTCTTCTTCACTAAACGCCCAACTGAAGATGTCGAGATTCTCCTTCATCCTCTCCTGGTTGAAGCTCTTCACCACAACGCAAACCTCCTGCTCGTATGCCCATCTCAAGCAAACCTGTGGAATAGAAAAAAATGGTTGAATACTTTTGTAACCTGAACTTTGACCATATCGAAGATGGATCAGACAGAAGAAAAAGGGCACGAACCTGAGCAACAGTTTTCCCTTTGGCACGGGCAATTTCTCCTAGGACTTCATTTTCGAGGACCCTGTTGCTCCCCCAAACGGTTCCTTTGGCTCCCAATGGAGCATACGCGCTCAGGATGATCCCATTCGACTTGCAGAAATCCCTCAGCTTCTTCTGTTGCCATAGTGGGTTTATCTCTACCTTTCAACCAAATTCCCCCCACCACAAAAGAAAAAGCACCACCATTAACTCAAAAAAAGAAAAAAAAAACAGAGCTTTTTCCTCTGTAAGAAAACTTGATTAACAGAGTGTAACTTACTTGATTCACAGCGGGTGGAATGTTGGCAAGGGCAAGCAGATCCGTGAGCTTTTTACAGGTGAAATTGCTGACTCCAATGTTCTTGGTCAGACCCATCTTTTGACACTCCTCCATTGCACCCCACACACCTGCGTAATCCATCGCCATGAAATCTTCCTTCAAGATTGGGAACTCGTACGTTCCCGGGCGCGAGCTCACCGGCCAGTGAATCAGATACAGATCCAGATACTCCAGTTGAAGATGGCTGTCACAAAATTCCACATAAACACGCGTATCAATTAACCCCACAAATGGAGAAGAAACGAGGTATACAAAAAAAAACAGGGGAGCTGGGAAATGGAATTGTGGGGGTTGTTAATTAATATAACTGGAGGCTTTTTTGGAGGGCGGGGAGAACGAGATCGGGATGGGCGTCGCTGCACCAAAGCTTGGATGTAACGAAGAGCTCGTCGCGGGATTCGATTAACCCACGAGACAGAGCTTCGGCGATGGCTTCCCCGAGAGACTCCTCCGTCTGGTACAGAGTAGCTGTGTCGAAATGGCGGTAACCCAACTCGATGGCTTGGACGACGGCGGACTTGGTGGCGCCGGACCCGACCAGAGGAGAAGTCGCTGTACCCATTCCGAGCAACGGCATCCTCCGGCCGCTGGAGCTCAGTATCACCTCCGGTACGCTGGTCGCCGGATTCGGATCCATCTTCTAATTTGTGGCAAAAGGAATTTGGCAAATTCCCCTTTTAAGAACTGAACATCGTCGTCAAGAAAACCAACCCAAAACCTAGAAATGTGTCAACGACATCAAATTTTTTTTTTTTTTTTTTATCAGGATGTCAATGGAACGATCGGCTCTGTGCTTTCCGAACAGAGACAAACCAAATTGCCCAAATGGGGGAAAAGGGTTCAGTAACTTTAACTGCAGGGGAATTGGTCAAAGCTTTTATCTTTTGATTTGTAGTGAGAGCATGTGGCTGATAAAAGAGCAGGAAGAGATAATAATGGTGTGTGGAAACTGGAAAGTCACCCACCCACCACATCCGCCATTTTTGAAGCCTTTTCTTCAGCTTCCTATCTTTGCAGGCGAGACGACAATTGTTGGCCCTTCCCTCAATTGTCACTATTTGCGCCAAATCGAAATTTTTACTATTCCTGTAAGAGCTAAATTATATTGAAACCACCATACCATATCACAAAAAGAAAGCACTGAAATTCCATTTCAAGAATGAATGAGACTGAGAAACCCATGTGATGAACAACAACAAAAAAGATAGCTCCTAGTTACAAAGCAGTACCAAAATGCAATCAACAAATGTAAAGAATTTTCTCAGGCACGCACATACAGAGAGTGAAGAAAATTAAGGAGAAGCTTTCTTGGTGGTCTTTTGGTACTTGACCTTGATCCACAGCATCCCAATAGAGGCGCCCGCTTTCACTTTCTTCATCCCGGCTGTGGCGACCTCTTTCGTTTTGTTAAGCCCGCCCTTCATTTTCTTCGAGTACTTTCCTTTCCCGCCGGCGCCGTCTCCGTTGCCGCTGAAACCACCGACGGCACCCCCGTGATTCTCCTGATTCCTGTCCCATTGATCAGCCCACGCATTCTCGAACGAACCCTTTGAACCCATTTGATAACTAACTAACTTGACTTAATTTCCTGCTGTATATCAGAATGAACGCTGAATTGAACCTATATGCACATTCACAATGTTGGGTTTCTTTTTTGAGATATAAGCCTACATTCTCTGTGCATGTTAATTGGCGTTATTGATTAAGGTTGGTGGATAGCATCTTGGTTGGACGCGAAATTCCTATACTGGGAGCCGATCAGCCAACCTGCAGGCTGCTAAACCGAGGGGAACCAGTAAACAGCTATATGCCATATTTTCTTGTTACCTACTGAGCCAATGGAAAGACTATGTGAACCAAATGTGGATAACAGAAGATCAAACAACACCGGGCATCAGTTCATTGTGAGAGTGAAATGCACATCCTCAACTTGGATAGTTAATGCCTAATGGTTCTAAATGCACTGTCTTATGCCAAGTATTTGCATAAAAAAGCCTAGCTATGGAAAAGTGCACTTCACTGTTGTATTTCGTCAAACACGTGGTGGGTAGGAAAAAATCCCAGAATACTCAAGTTATTAAAAAAAATTCTTTAAATACAGTACTTATAAAATTAATTCCCAAAGTACGGCAGTTTTAACATCACTGTCTTAGACAAAGACAGTGATACTAATCACCGCTTTTGTTTAAAACAGTGAACCAGCGAGGACACTATCACCGCCTCTGACAAAAGCGGGGAATGTATCACCGCCTCTGGCAAAAGCGGGGAACGTATCACCGCTGCTCTCAAAAACTGTGATTGCCTCACCGCTGTTGTGCAAAACGGTGATATTTACCACGTTTTAGAGCCCTGGTAGGTGGAAAATTAGGTAACAGCTACCTAGCTACCAGCTTTCATTTTTTCCTATAAAATCCGACGCCTACTTCCCTCCTGCTGCCTTACACAAAAATTATTGTTTTTTTAGTCGTTTTCTCAGCTGGTTCCTCCGTAGTTTACTGCTCAAGAAACTCGTCGGGATTCGGTATGTTAGAATTATGTATTGTTTACATTTTGATGTGTAAGTAATTATATGTCTGTATTTAGTGAATTGCGGTTATTGGAAAATATGTTATGATATATTTAGATTAATTATGATATGATAGATGTTAGTTAGTTAGTACTGAATTTAGATTAATTTGTTTAGTTTTCTCATGATAGATCGGGATTGAGTATGTTATAAGTATGTATTTTTTACATGTTGATGTGTTAGTAATTATATGTCTGTATTTAGTGAACTGCGGTTATTGGAAAATATGTTATGATATATTTAGATTAATTATGATATGATAGATGTTAGTTAGTTAGTTATGAATTTAGATGAATTTGTTTAGTTTTCTCATAATAGATCAATTAGTTGCATTTTATTATGGGTTTGGATGATATTGTTTTTGTATCCATAATGTACTAATTATATACTATACTTAATTATTATAAATTGCAGACATGGGTAAATTTAAAAAGTTTCGGCTTATTATTTGGTGGAATGGTCGGGTGACAAACTCGAACATTGGGATCGACTATGAAAATGGCGAATCCAGTATGCTTAAAATTGAGTCGAGATTCTCGTGACAAGAACTCCATGACAGGTGTGCAGAAAGGACTTGTACGGGCGGGCAAAGGAGAGTTCGTCAAATTACTTACCGGTATCCCAACATGAGTGATGACGGAGTCATGTACGAAAAGGTTGACATAAATGATGATGACGACGCGAACATGATGATACAGTTCATATCCGAGAACGGGGTGCGGCTTGCAGAGGTGTATGTCGAGACCGAGCCGGTCGATGAAACTCATTCTCACCAGTATTCTTATGATGATGGTTTTGCAGGAGGGTATGGCTGGGGTGGTAGTTCAAGTAACTACGGAGGAGGTACTTCTGCAGGAGGGTATGGTTGGGGAGGTACTTCTGCAGGAGCCGTCGATATCGTTCAGCCCGACGGTGATCAATGGCCTGCTTGGGGTCCAGAGTGGGCTGACATTGAAAACACCCTTCGATCTGGGCGTACTTCGCATGACCAAGAAGACGATGCTGGTTATGCTGGTAACGATGACCATCCTGAGCCGAGCTATCCATTCGCCTCCAGTGACGATGAAAGTGAGGAAGATTTGAGATCAGTCAATGAGGAGGAAGATACGAACGATATTGACGATATCGATGACAGAGAGGTGGCGTTCCGTCAGGCACCAACGCCTTACTACACAGAGGTTCATGATCAATTTTCATATGGTCAGAATGATGCCCCTGACTTTCGACCCATGCCTGTGTATAATCCGACTGCTAATTTGGAAGTGGGTATGGCGTTCACTTCGAAAGCCGATGTGCAAGATGCTTTTAGCGAAGAAGCCATGCGGCGTAACTTCGAATGGAAGGTAAAATATTCTGACAAGGGACAACTGCATGTCATTTGTAAGAATGCTGAAGAGGGTTGTATGTGGCAACTTCGTGCTGCATATATGAAGAGAAAGGGCGTTTGGGTCATGCGGACAGTAGAGAACAACCACAGATGCTCCTCAACCTTACTTTCACAGGATCACCGGCAACTGAAAGCAAAAAAAGTGGCAAGAACCATTAAGCACCTAATCGAGGCACAACCAGATATTAAGATAAAAACTATCATGGCCGAGGTGAAGGATCGACATTCCTACACCATAAGGTATAAGAAGGCGTGGCATGGGAAGCAGAAGGCCATGGCTGAGGTCTACGGTGATTGGGAAGACTCGTATGCTTTACTCCCTAGACTAATGTCCGCAATGGAGGAGTCCAACCCTGGGACGGTTTTCGTGCCGAGGTACAACAACGTAGAAACTGAAGATCAAGTTCGAGTACAGAACGAGTTGATGTTTCATCGTCTGTTCTGGACATTCAAGCCATGCATTGATGGGTTTCCCTTCTGCATGCCAGTGATTCAGGTATATTACGGACTCAAAATATTGTACTATTTCATTACTTTACTAATTTCAATTTTTACTAACTCATTATTCATTTTAACAGGTTGATGGAACTTTCCTTACTGGGAAGTATAAAGGAACTCTTCTTATTGCCACTGGGGTTGATGGAAATTTAAGTATTTTTCCCTTAGCATTTGCATTAGTTGAAGGGGAGAACAACCTAAGTTGGGCATGGTTCTTTGACCAGCTACACGCCCATGTCACACAAAGAATGGGTATTACAATTATATCAGATCGACATGCCGGGATTAAACACGCCGTCCGTGGTTTCCCCGACGAATGGGAATGGACATGGCGCTGGTGTATTCGTCACTTCCTAGCCAATTTCCAACACAAATTTGGCAAGAAAAAAGACATAAGAGATCAATTGTGGAGTGCAGGTTGTAACACCCTACCCTATACGTTTTGCCTAATCATATTCTTCATACAATTGCAGCGGAATTGATCTTGGGTGTTACATTAATTATCAAAATTTACCCAAATAAAATTTCGACATGAATTACTCGCGTAATGGGCTAACAGTTCTTGCAACTTATCCTACAAAATAATTCATCACAAACATATATACTCACAACCATATGCATTGGCTTTTCATAGCCATAGTCACAGTTTCATGTTACCCAACTGTATACTATACTGATACATGCCATAATCGTCACAACTTACATAATTACACAAATATACACATATCATCAACTTTCCACACCTGTGGATAGCTCACACTACATCAGAAGCTAGTATGCACATGAAAAACGTTCTCAAAACATTTTTACAAAAAGGTGTGGATCACTGGCCAAAATCCCGAGTAGTAGTCCAAGCACAGAATAGTTGAAGACCATACCTCATCTTGCCTTCAACTCTTGCTCAACTCCCACCTATACACCTATCTACTGCTGCTGCTGCTGGTGATGATCTGCTTACACATGGCATAAGCAGAGAAAAAGGATAAAGAGGGTCAGCTCATAGCTGAGTGAGATAATCATAGCATCGTGAGTTCATAACAGAGCATACCCCTACCATACATCTAGCAAACAAGCCAAAGCACTAGGATCAGACCTCAGGCATCCGACATCCCAATAAGCAAAAGACTCAACCACCTTGACTTATGCATATGCATCTTATCATGTTTTACTTATAGGCGCCTGGCTACTCCCATGCTAATTACTCTCCCGGGAATACGGACCAAACATCTCGTGGATGTGGTCATATCGGACCCACTACTGCCGGTGTAGTCATATCGGACCTGACACCACGATGGGTGTGGTCATATCGGACTCAACACCACTCTGGGTGTGGTCATATCTCATGATGAATCAACGGTCAACACCACATCAGGGGTGTGACATAACATATCATAACGGAGTAATAGCATGGGGAGCCCTAATTACTATGTAATTGACCATGAGACCAAATCACTCTTACTTGATGTCCTTATACATGATCCATATCTCATCTTGCTTAATCATAATTCGTTACTTGCACATGTACTAGAC